TTGGAGGGTGTAGCCACGTGCTTCATGCATGGGGCAGTTTTGGAGTGAGGGAAATGTGGGCCTCAGTCTGCAGCAGATAATAAATAATGCATAGGTAAGGCAAGAAAGTTCTAGGACCTGAATTGGCAGATGAGCTTTTTGCAAACTTAACCTTTTTTCAAACATAAAACTGAATTTTAGTTAGCCCTCCCTGACTCTTTAATTCTTCCTTTGGTGCCCAAATAAAGTTTGCTTAAGCTGGTGTCTGACCAAGATGGAGAAAAAAATTATGGAATAAGGAATTGGGAGAAAAAAGGATTCTTCTACCATTAGTATTGCCTTGTGTAGTGAATACTTAGCTTCATGACAGCAAATTTTTAATTTAGCAGAGTTTATTCTTCTGAGTAATATTTTACATATTTTTGCAACTTTTATTTATGTATATTGCATAGAAAATGTGCATGTCCTACTATACTGTTACTAAGATCTGCTTACTGACAGTGCAGTGGACCTGTTTCAATAAGAGAACATGGTATTCATTCTGTGCCAATTGCTTTTTATATTCCTATCTCTTTTTTCAGTTATTTCTGTTTGAGCTTCTGTAGGTGTTCATTAATTATGAAGCTTTTAAGTTGGAATTTGAGTGGCTTTTATTGTTGTACCTCAGTCTTTCTTTTTGAATTATCATCTCTGCTTTTACCTTTTTGCACTTTCATTTATTGAATAGAATGTAAAATAAACTTATACTTACAAAATCTAATTCGGAGTAGGCAAAATATTGAATTTCTGTAAAACAATGCAGAACGGGAATTTGTATATAATAGGCTTCAATACATAGAAAGAAAATGATTAAATCATATCTCACTTATCATAGATCTTTTTGATAGGAGCAAAATCTGTGCCATTAGTTCCAGACCAGCGTATTTCCCATTCACAATGCTTTAGTGCATAACTTATAAATCTGTCCTCATCATCCTATATTACTTTTTCAAAGCAAGACTAACATGAAGCAAGACAGGATGAATGAAAGTCAATGAAGGTCGACTAGACAATCCAATTACTAGAGATTCTTGGAAGAACAGGAATGTGATCTATTATAGAATTGTGTGTGAATTTCTGTCTTCGTTTACAAGGGTCACTTCTGTAGAACTGCAGTATGTTTTTTATGGTAATCTAGTTTTAGATTATGCTAGTCTGATCTGTTTGTATAATACATCAGAATGTCAGTTGTTTAAAAATTTGTTAGTTCACAGAAGCCACATTTATAATAGACAATTTATATACCTGTTCTATCTCCTGAGTAGTGAAGATTTAACATACAGCTACACATTACATAACAAAGAGGCAGTGTTAAGGTGCATAATCATTGCATACATATCACTGCTAATTTTCCCATGCTTTTTTTTTCATCACTCAGTTTTCTTTCATTCTGCAGGATAGACGATCTCTTGCAATTGTAAAACACTTCATACAATAAAAGAGGTTTCTATTTCTGGTGCCTACTTCTGATAGAAATAGTGACCCAGGCTGCATGTTGGAGCTAAACACAAAAATTTAAGTCTGTATAGATATCGTCAATTCTGGACACTGCAGATGATGAATAAGAAGAAAGCCTAGTTAAGCAGAAGAATAGGTGTGTCCCGTCTTAGAAGCATCCTTGTACTTCAGCTTCATTGCTTCTGTATCACAGAAGGAGTTAGGTTGGAAAAACTTCTGGGATCACTAATCCAAACTTAGACCAAACATTTTGTCAATGAGCACTGAGTGCCATGTCCATTCTTCCCTTGAACACCTTCAGGGATGGGAACTCCACCACCTCCCTGGGCAGCCCATCCCAATGTCTGATCACCCTTTCAGATATGGCTGAACTTTACCTACTTTTTTTTCTCCTTGATACAAATACGTCTAATGAAAGAAACAAAACCACCACCACTAACAAGAAAGCAGTAACAAAAACACTAAAAGTACCCAACCAAAAAAACCCTAAACTGTATACAAACTTTGTATCGTTATAGTTTCGACCCATATATAAATAAGTTGTTTGTTATTCTAACTGAAGTCTAGGTGATTTTACTTGACTATCATTTTACATACAAGTTTTAAATAAATTGCAAGTTACTACGTGTTCTTGTTTTCCCCAGACTCTGTAAAAAAGAAGAACAAAAGAATGTAATATAAATTTTACCTTTTAACCTTTTAGCAGATGTTTAGATTACAGGTATTTTGACCTGGTATTTTCATGCACAGTCACTTATATTCATCTTAGGAGAAGCAATTCCAGTGAAATTGCAAGTGCCTGTGTATGTAAATATAGAAATACATATACATATATTCCTTCCCAGCTAATACAATCATTGGACAGTGGAGTCATATTAAAAGTATTTAACCAAACAGAATATCAATTCATTACAGGCTGTCAGAGTGGGAAGCATGTTAATACAAAATCAATTGTTATAAATGACATAGGGTCTGAAAAACAAGTAATGTATTCCTAGATACTGGTATAACAAAGAACACTGAGAGGAAGATACAGTGTTGATTGAGACAATTTTTACACTGTTTCCCAATAAAAGTTGAAGTCATCTTCTGCAGGTATTCGGATATTGTTGTCTGACAGCAAAAGATAGAAACACTGCCTTTTTATTTATAAGTTAAGATTTAAGAACAAATTGTTACTTGCAGTAGCAAAATATATGTCTAAATTACCACAGTTATTGTAAAGCATGATCAGGTTATGCCACACTCCTTTTGACTGGAAAATCATGAGGCTTGCCTGGCATACAGAAGTAATGAAGAATCTTTTTCTGATTAAAAATATGCTGTGTATCTAAGAAACACTGAAAAGGTTCACTGTAATCTGTAAACTATTTAATGTAAATGATCATTTAATGTAAACTATTAAATGTAAACTATTTAATGTAAGAATCTGGTGTTATTAATTTTTATTAAAACTATTTTTCCACAGGCTTTGTTTAGATTACAGAAAATACTATAGTATGGAAAGAAGATATTTTAAGATATAGTAATTTTATTATTTGCATTCAAAATATTATTTTTCAAAGTCTTCATGCAGCTAAGTGTTATCTGTAAGTAAGAAATTAGTTTTAGATTGAAGTTGTAAGCTCTGTAATGAATTTGTGATATTAGGCATGTATGCTATTGATTTTTCATTGCTACATTTTCTTGATCAGTAGGGCAAACCTCTCTGCAACAGAGAATTGCACTTCAGTTTTCTGTAGAGAGGGTAGACTGAGATTGTAATAGAGTCCTTCTCTAAGATCAACAGCTGAATCAAAGGTTTTAATTTATTTTCTGTAAGAAATAATTTTTTTTTTCCCAGCCCTGGTTTGGTGCTGGTAGCATCACAAATATTTCAAATTTCTAAGCCTTTGACTTGTGATAGTATTTGTCACAGGTTTTTGGTATCTCAGAAAAAGTAATTGTTGGCATGGCTGTCTTAGCTGAGAGGAGTGTGCAGAAATGAAATGTAAGGCTGTGTCAGATCAAATCAGAGAAAAAATTCCTTACTACAATGGTTTGCTTTTGTTCAAGCAGGCAGACCTGACACATGTGTCTCTGCTACCCAATTTGTGATTGATTCTGTTCAGCTGACCCTTTTTCCTTTCCTTCTGGCCTGTTTTCAGTTTAATCAGGTTCTAAATATACAGTACTAAAAGGCTTGCCTTTTATTTGGCAGATGTGCAGCAACAAAAACCTCTACTCGCCGAGAAATCGTTGCTTTGAGAAAACTGCACTAGGTCTATAACAATTTTCAGTAACCCCAAAGCAAAATAGCTTTTATGAGGTAGTGGGCCTATAGGCCCAGCTTGTCTCTTCAAAAGTTATCTTTTCAAAAGTTGTTCTGCCAGAGTCCTCATCCTGGTCAGCTGCCAAGGTGCCTGAATGTGACACATTGGGCAAGTTGGAACCCGGGGCGTCACTGTTCCAGCCAGAACAGTGTTCCTGTATGAATTCCCCTGGTTCTCAGCTGTGCACTCGATATTTCAAAACTCGTTTTGCTTTTCGGTTCTGTGGTAACAGGAAGACATCCATAGAAATTCTCACCATTCAGGAGCTAGGATTCCAGACACAGTGAGACGTTCCTAGGCAGTGTAGCTGGAAAATAGGCTTTGTCCCACAGTCAGTATATGGTTTTTCATTACTGCCATTTGCACTGGGAATATATAGTTCTCAGAGAAAAAAAACAACTTACTAAAACAAACCTTACTTGTTTAAAGGAAATGGTGTAGGGATCATAAGTGTACCTATCTCAATATAGCATTCTTCACAAAGTTCCTTTTACAAAGCAATGCATTTATATAATAGATTGTGCTTTATAGTTATTAAATTTTACCAGACAAACTTAATTATAGCTGAAAAATAGTTGTATAAATAAACAAATCTCAATAATAAACTGGATAATGTGTCCATTTGGCTGATAACTGACATAGTGTTGTATTTCCATGAGATTAGCTGGTCTTCTGTGAGATGTAATATTACTTTTAAGTTGAGCTCTTCAATTGCTGTGTTTTAGTTAAGAGAAATACAAGACAAGACATATAAATTTAAGATAGCACATCACTGAAATCTTTTTCAGAGTCAGTAATGGGTATAGCATGAGTCTACAGGTTGACAATAACAAATTGGTTAGTATTTTCATTTTTGTATATAATTTATGAAAATAGTGGATACAATTGTCTCTTGAGTTATTTGCACATAAATAGGGTGACAATAAGATCTGAATTTATGGCCATCATCTCTTGCCTTGTGTTTCTTTTTTCTCTGCCTTCTGCCAAAAATATTTTTTCTTCCTGATTTTCATGTATATATGTCCATGCATATCTATGCAAACTGTGCATACCCAATGTTTTCTCTCAAACTCTTGAAATAAATAGTAGTAGTGGTAACAATAATACTAAAGGTCTAAATAAGTTGCTTGCCAATGTTAGTAGAAATTTCTTAAGCTGTGTTAAGTATGTGCTTATATCACCTATTCAACTACCTGTTTATGATTTCTGTAGGTGACAGATCAGTCGGTGAAAGCTTTTGCTGAACATTGCCCTGAGCTGCAGTATGTTGGTTTCATGGGCTGCTCTGTTACTTCAAAAGGAGTCATTCACCTTACCAATGTAAGTATCATAACTAATCTCTGGTAGTCATTAGTGTATTGGACTATAGCCATGTCATGGGTGTCAGCCAGGATAAGGTTACATGTATGATTTACAGCACTGGCATGGACAGAAACATGATTAAGTGAGTGAACTTTGCATTATTTAGTTTTTACTGTATAAAACCCTGTAACAAAAATACGTATTTGTGGGATTATACATTTTCTCACAAACAAGAGTGATGTTAAGATTAAAACTCTTTAAAATGCATAATTACAGCTGATTTAATCACAAACGAAACAAAATTCCATTTTAAAATGCAAAATTCTAATTCCAAGAAGTTTAGACAGACCTCTGGTTGCAACAGTGTACCCCCTGTGTATGTACATTTTGACTATATTTATCTTCTAATTTTATATGGATAGCGTGGCATCAGCATTTTATTTTCTTTCCTTTTTCTTTTGCATAAGAGGATGTGTGGGAAAACTAACTTGAGTGAATCTGCAGAAAGTAATTAAAGTGTTCAATAAAATGGATGACTTGGATGAGGTGGACAAACACTATCTAATTAAAATTTGCAACTGAAAGTAAATCCAAGGGTCATGCAAACATGAAAATGGTTAAAGAGATCTTGAGGTAGGAAGTAGAGAGCATATTTAATGAAAATGGAGTGTGCCTGATGAAAGCAAAGGTTTTTTTGATGCAGCTCTGAAGCTCTCCTATTGTTATACAGAACCATTCAGCATACCTGTAAATTACTTTCATCATTTTAGAGCTGCTTAGCTGAAGCTACAGAAGAATTGAAAACATCTTGGAACACATGCACAAAGAAATAAGCCAGGGAAGTCAATCTGTATGGTAAAGTCATAGGACCCCAAAGGATGCTGTTTTGAAAGAGCTGTGTATTGATGTGATGAGTAAAAGGTGTGCATATCTGTTGGAGAAAGAAATGATACAATAATTTTCATATCCTTTGAAAATTACCTATGTATAACTATAGGTTATGTTTATATACAATATATAAATATAGGAGGTACACAATTGAAAACTTTGACATAAACAGAGTAGTCCAGTGCTTTGTGGTAAATTTCCACAATGATCACTTTTCAGCTACATATTTTGCTTGCTGCATTATTCTAACCTACATTTATTGAGTGTTTAATAGATGTTAGATGTCTTATTGTTCAACAAAATGACTTTATAATCACATTTATTAGATTGAAGAAGAGTCGAGATCTTGACTGTTTATTAATATGTTTCTGATTTTCACATGTTTAATAATAATAAATTATTAGAAATCCTGGTTTACATTGGAACAACCCTGTTGAACATGTTCAGAAAATATCTGAGAGGCTGCTTAGACTCTTAGTATGTAATTACTTTGTAAGCAATTGGTGCACGTTGGGACTTGAGATTTAGGTGTTTCAGTTTCCTTCCCTCAAGCTATATCTGTACAATTTCTGTAGGGTGTGAATACTGCAAAGACAGGGATGTGATAACACTGAAAGGTAGGGATTGCTCAACCCAGAGAAAGCCCAAGGAAGACTTTACTGCAGCCTTTCAATATTTAGAGAGGATTTATAAGGAAAATAGGGGCAGGCATTTTAGAAAGATCTGTAGCAAGTAGTACCATTATCTGCTGCATTTGTCTTTCCCAGGATTCATCTCTTAATGGTATAATTTTTTGTTCTAACCATCATGCTCTTCTGTGGTTGGATTTGTGTTGAGTACTTAACTGGTGCTTTGTGTTTAGTAGTAATTCCAGTCTGGTGTTCCTGGAGAATGTGGAATCTGCTCTTTGCTCTCCATGGCCTGTGAGTGTGTCCCTCCAGGCTGTGCAGAGCTAGTTGCCTTCTGTCCTGCTTCCTGTGTGCAAACTGGAGATAACAGCAGTGGCCTCGGTTGTGAAATTGCTTTAGGGCTGATGGATGTATGAAAATTGAGTGGTTTATTATTACTGTATTTTCCCCTAGTAATGTTAGCTCTCTTTAAAAATAGTGGCACTTGAAAAATTCTAAATTACAGAGCTGCTGCATCACAGAGCTTTTTTAATAGCTAATTATGGGGTATGGAATAGAAAGTGTTGTATACTTAAGGAAAAGAAGAAACATTCTGGGTTTATTTTCACTATTTTCCTACTGAACAGAATGACAGTAAAAAAAATTTGCTTTTTGAGCAAGACCATGTCATCACACTGGTGCCTTTTTTCCTTGAAGTTAATATAAACTGAAAAAATACAAATAAAACAAATAATGATTATTGGCTAAGATGATAGGCACTTCATGTACATACACAGGAAGAAAGGGAATAAAGGAGTGTGTTTACATGCAATTCACAGTTAGACTTTATAGTTGAAACCAGTTGTTTGTTCCGATGACCTAAATGTTTCATTTTCCTTTAGAGTTTTAATGTGTGAAACATTGTCACAAAAGAAGTAAATGACCTCCTCCATGACATCAGAGTATTTAGTCCAACTCTTATCAACATTGTTTCTGTGGAGGAGGAAAGAACCTGTGTAGTGCTGTAGTTTGTCTTCTGTTTTCACCACATCTCCATGTACTGTTTTCTTGTTTTATCTTTCTTTATAACTTATTTTATTATTTAATTAGCTTTCTATGTTTGATTTTTTTCTTGTTTGCATTATTTCTCCCCTCCACACATCTTTGTCTCTCAAGAGTTTATCCCTGTTTTTTTTTTTTTACTTTGCTTCTCCTGTAAGCATAAAGATTAACACGAATGTGAAAAAGTGCCTGTACACATTAGGTGATTGTGTTGAGGACCGAAAAATCAGAAGAGTAATCTTTTTTCATTAACTAGACTGGAATAAGAAACTTTGTATTCTTTCTAGTGAGGAAGTGATTTTTTTAATGTTGCGTCTTTGACCTCAAGAGCAGTGGCATTTTCCTCCCCTATTGGGGGTAACTCCTTCTCAGCAGTTAAATTGTTGCACTTCTAATAGAAATTTAACAGCTGGCATCCGCAAGTTTTGACATCTAGATATAATTTTATTACCAAGCCACTTCCTTGGCTTCTTCCTTTGGTTTCTGATATATATATGCAAGGGGAATTGCGTTGTAGCAGTATAAAGCTGTGCTTCTACACGTCTACAGAAGCTGTGTTTCTGACAGACTGTCTGGTAAAGTTTGTTACTGACATCTAATTAGGTATGAATCCTTGTACAGAACCTCTACAGAAAAAAATTCTAACTTAGAAAATAATTCTGCTAATCATCAATGCGTGAAGACAGTTCATCTAAGAAGTACTTTTGGAATAATGTGATCTTCACTTTTTCTTCATCTCATAATAGTTACTCATGACCAATCCAGCTTAGTGATACCTGTGTCTGAGTTGGTGGTCAGTATGAAGTCAATCAATATTCAGATTTATGGAGCAAATTCTTAGGGCTCATTCCGTGTAGACATCATCAGCATGGCAGATACATAATGATAATCTACATGACAGGACTGATTTTGCAAGAGCCTTTCTGAACTGGGCTAATGTATGGTTTCTTTCTAGTAAATTACTTGTTTTGACACAAAGTGTTCTGCTTTATGCTCTTTTTATGGTAGTATTTCGGCATACCTTCTGATCTTAAAATTATTAAGCTTTCTGACTAAGGGCATGCAGCCGTTCTTTGACTAGGTACAGAGAAAACAGTATTTTAATCAATTCTGTGTAATGAACTGTATTTCCTAAGATGGAATACGATTTATTTCAATCTGTTTGCCTTTAATAATATGTCCTTTTAAATATTAGTCTTCCAATGGCAGGAAAAAGGCATTAAGTACGGGGTTTTGAGTACTGTGATTCTGGCACAATATTCATGAGTGTTGCCTTGAAATTTTAATTGATATAGTCCTGTCTAAGTGAACATTTTGGCATCTTGCCAAACTGAATCGGATGTTTTTGTTGAATTAACTGTGTCCCTCTTAAGAGATTATTGTTGCTATTTGCAAGAATTTGACGATTGTACCCAACTGTCGTTTCTTTCAATGAAGTAAAAAACACATTGCAGAGAAGACTGCATGGTTGAAAGGGTTGACTCTATGAAACTTCCCTTCTACCCCCCCAAAAAAAATCATCAGAAGTACTTGACAGTAAAAAACATGAAGATATAAACTATGAATCAGCAAAAATGTAATTTTACAGCAACTTTTAGAGTTTATAAACTGGAAATGACTTTCGTAGCAGAGATAGCATATGTGCAGATATGTGTGTGCAGGTCCCTCCTCTAGAGGTGATTAAATCTTTGTGCTTACAATTTCGTTTTTGATTGTGTTTGTTACTTAAACAATGGGATCATAATGTTTCATAGTACCTAAGAACTGAAATTAAAACTTAATTAACATGCAAAGCATTTAATCAGTTTATGGTAAAATAGACTCTTTTGTAACTATTCAATCATTTTCCAGTTCTTTAGACCATGTATGATTACTGTTCTAGGATCACAATCTCAATATATCTCAATTGTGTAGTTCAGTTATTGCAGCTCTTCAGTAAAAATTAATGCATGTGACTTTAAAAAAATAGTTCATAGATTCTATTGATATTACAATAAAAAGAATGTAGTTTACAGTTTTTTTCGTGTTGTTGTTTTTCATTTCCTGCAATCATACATTTGCTTTGGGAGACTTAAGTCAGAGAGCAGTTTATTCCCTAAAGGCATGTATACACAGAGAGTGTCAAGAAAATTAAGCTTAATTAGCAAAAGATGTGAGTTTAAAGCTCATTAAGTCCTTATAAGCACTTTCCTTCAGAAATAATTTGGCTTTCATACTGAAGAGGATTAATTTTACATGAATTGTTTAGGGGTGGACTTGGCAGTTTTAGGTTTCAGTTGGACTCAGGCTTAAAGTTATTTTCCAAACTAAATGATTCTATGGCTCTGTTCTCTTCTATGCTTTTTAGGGCAGTGTATCTCTACAGGAATTGTGGAAGCATGCAATGGGAAAAAATTGTGTTCTGATTATATTAGCACTTTCAGTACAATAACATTTAAATATTCACAGGAGTTGATACACCCACGCTTAAATTACCTATGATCCCAATGGTAATAGTGATTTTCTATTCCAAGTTTCAGTAGTTAAGATAGAAATCCTATTAATTGCATGTTATTCAGGCACCCAAACAGTATGATAATCTCTGAATCTTCGAATATATCAGTTGGCATAAAATTTCATTTAAACCAACCAAACAAAATAATTTAAAAGCCCCAAAGATTTTAGCATATTTTAAAATATTTGAGATCCAAAAGTACTGGGTAATAATCAGTAATATCAGCCAGAATGTGTTTATAGGTATCACACAAAATTAGTTTGCGTTGCTGCTTTTTAAAAATTCTCTTATTTTCTCTTTCATATTTTAAGCCCTCTGTCTACTTATTTGTATGGTGTTTTGTCACATTAAGTATTCCTTTTCCCATTAAAATGTTTTGACTGACTGATGTAGCTGAGTTCAAAGTTTAAATTCTGCTCAAGCATGCTTATTTGCAAGGCTATAAAATTAAGAGTTCAAGAAAAGCTTCTGCAGAAGAATACCCTGAAATTACCCAGTAAAATGGTGTTGCTGCATGAACAAAAATAGTTTTGGTTTAAAAAAACACAAAAGGAAAAACATTATGCATCCTAGTTCTGTAAGACTGAGTATTTAATTCACAGAACATCCTCATTCTGTTGAAAAAATGCTGTTTAAAGGTACATTGTTTTACTCTCAAATTTTATGAATGCACTGTAGAGTCTAGCATCTCTTTTAAAATAGTCTACTTTGGAGAAGTTTGATTTTTCTTTTTAATATCATACTACTTTTAGCTGTGAGGGTTAGTGTTAGGATGTGAGACGTATGTATTTTTCTTTTCCATTGTTTTCCTAGTAGTGATTTTATCATTGTAGCATTTTCCCCCTGAAATTACTTCTCAGATAAGATATAAAACAGGAGATTTGTTATTAAGGTATATCTCCTTTTTTTAATGAAAAATTATTACATACACATTTATTACAATTCTCTCACCAGTAATGAGATGTTGATACCTCTGAATTAAGTAGGCAGAGATGTATTCTTTTCACTGTCATATTCAGATTGTCTCAAAAGGGAGTGTGCATTCAGTTCTGCACATCCTGAAAGCCACTGACACTGCTGTAATGACAATTTTGAGGTTGTAGAGACCAAATTGTACTTGAGTATGTATCAATCTGAAGCAGTCTCTTCAAACTTCTAAGACACAAAGGTTTTCTTCATTGAGTATGTTGTGCCTGAGAAAAAGAATTAACATACCAAGTAGGTCAGGTGTTTAAAATGAAGGAATGTGACAGTAAAAAAGGCAAGTGATGGTTGAGTTACTGTATATTGAATATAATAATAGACTACTACTAGTATGAAAGAAAGAAGCAATGAGTGAATGATCAATCTCCTGTGATGGTAAAGGACAATCTACCTTGAAAACTCTATTAATTTGGAGGGCAGGAATACTAGGAATTCAGTTTAGGTTTTGACTCCACCCATGCAATGCCAAAGTTTTTTTTCCTGGGAAACCACAAATGCTTTCTGCTACATTCATCATTGCATCATTGAGGTAAATAATATTCTTCTTCCCTCTTACCTAATTTGAAGCCACGTGTTTTAGGCGCTTTTTAAAGGAGGGCTGACATCACTCCATGGATTGATACTTTAGTGTAAATTCTTGGGTTTAAGTCCATAAGTAATAATAATGGCAAAAGAATCACCAGTATTGTCATCTGCTTGTAAGAAGAATGTTATTGAAAAAGAAAGCTTGGGGCTTTCTTAAGTGGGAAGATTTTCTATTTGTCTTTTAAGTCTTCTTAGATATTTAATGTCATAGAACATACACATTGTTGATTTGTCCAGCAGGTGTGTTTTTGTATGTCACAGGCATAGGCTACATTATTGCCTTCATGGTTTAATGGCTGAAATATCTAATAGGAATAGCTATATGAAGGTGAGAAAATTTACAGTTGCTGTAAATTCCCCTTTTTCTAATTTATGCAGGAAAGAAAGGAGAGATTGGTTATGAGCTTTTTTTGGGTACAGAGAAGATAAAGCTTTTAAACTTCATACTAGAGTATGTATGAAATGAGAATAGACAGAGCTTGTAAAAGATGTCTATTTTACCAACTCAGTATCAACTACTATATTCTCTGTTCCTTAATAGGCAAAGAAATTTATCAGCATTTCAGTGGGAATACAGCAAGTACCTCTACAGTGATACCTGTGGTAGTATCATAAAATAGAAATTTATTGTCCTAGATTCTGTAGACGTACTCTGCAGGTGTTCCTCAGAGGTCAGGATTCTTGATTTTATGCTTGTATTGAAGAATTTTTGGGAACGGTATGTAGTTTATCTTCAGCTTTTGTTTGGAAACTGTTAAAAACTTAAAGAACAAAATTCCAGTTTCTGTAGAAGGCTACCTACATTTGAATTCCTCTTCCTTTTCTTCTTCTCACCCCATGCTGCCACCTCTTCCCCAGATCCCTTTCCCTAAATACATTGACTTGATAATTAACTACTGAAGTGGACCAATTATGTGATCTCAGTTGTATGCCTTTACCTAATCAAATCCTTAGTGACTTAAATCACTGATGAGGATCATTTTTTCTCTCTTACAGGGAAAGTAAATTTAATTAAAGTGTCAATATTGCCTAATGCAATTATTTTTCCAGAGTATAACAGAGATTATTTCAGACAGCTTAAAAAGTAAACAGTACTTGGAGGTTATTATGACTAAACTGATACTGGAGAAGTCTGTAAGTTTTTTTTTTTTTTCATTGATAACTCATAAAAAGGGTTTGTTTTTGAAGGACACTTCTTGTAAAAGGGTTTGTTTTTGAAGGGCGTGAGAATGATGAACACTAGTAATAAGTCAGTTCAGTCAGTGCATAACTCATAACTATATTGTTCTGTGACTCCAGGTTTTGTTGTTCAGAATACCTAATCTGTTATTGATAACTGTGCAGGTGAGAATACAGTATAAATATTGTATTTTTCAGGGAGTTTGTATTATTTGTTTACTTTGAAAGCCTTATACTCTGGAGTCGTTAATTGCATTCATTTGAATCTAAGCACAAACGTGCTGTCTCACTTCCTTCCATGCCTTATTTTTCTTATGGCTAAATGATATTTTACCCTAGTATCCTGTACTCCATATATTTAAGAGGAGAAGGAAGGCCCTTATTGTAAGTTGTATTGCCCCTTGAGTGAGAGTGTCTGGATTTTCTGTAGTAACTGAATGCCTGAATCACAACTTTGCCCAAGCTGAATTCTATGAATATCTCTGGTATGTTTGCTTTTTGTAAAAGATACAGTAATCTTATCTTTCATGACTAGCTTGCACATAATGTGAAACTTCCAAAAAAATTTAACAGTATTGTTCAACAGTTATGTATTTGAATGAATTTCAGATTATTTCTTTCTCTCGTGTTTGTCTCAACAGCTAAGAAATCTTTCGAGCTTGGATCTACGTCATATCACAGAACTGGACAATGAAACCGTGATGGAAATAGTAAAGAGATGCAAAAACCTTAATTCTCTCAATCTCTGTCTGAACTGGATCATTAATGACAGGTAACTTCATTAGAGCATCCAAAAGCAGTGTAATGTAAATTTAACTAGTTGCATTAGATGAGAATAATTCCTCATGGCTTGGGGGCTGGAGATTGATTAAACAGTGTTTGCTGAGTGCTTGTTCTTGCTTGTTTTGAGTAAATCACCCAGACACCTATTTTGTGGAGTGTTTCCCTATATCTGCAATGGAGAAAAGTTTAGTTATGGCTGGATGGCAGCACTAATTTGTTTCATGCAGCTTTCAGGAGCGTGTGCTCTGTACAAAGTGTGATTGAAATGTTCAATTGCAATTGAACTGACTCCTTCAGTAGGTGTCTAGAATTTAGATAAATTTATTTGCACGCAAATGATGAAACATGCGTTTGGCTGCATAAGTAAAAATAAACTGCCTGTGAATTAAATAGTTGAATTCCTTTACTTTTAGAAAGCAACAAGGTTGTTTGGTTGGTTTTGGGTTGTTGTTATTTTGTTGGGTTTTTTCCCGATCCTAATGTATTCCAGTCTTTCGATCAACTATCTATTTCAACATTAAGTATATGGAGAAAGGTTATGTATATTTAAATCATAGATCAGCTGAAAAATAAAATAACTGAGAATTTTAAAAGTGAACATTTTCTTTTAAAATGAAAAAATTGAGCAAAGTCAGTGCCTGAGGGTACATAGGAAAGAATATTTTTAATTACTTCTACCAGACTTTTTCATTATAACTGGTGCTTTAAATAAAAAGAATGAGACACTTTAAACAGAGAGGGGTTCTAAAATAGTTTAATCTAAACCAAAATAATGTGTTCTAGTAATTGTACTTCTTTCCCATAATTACTTTTTGGTTTTTTAGTAAGGCATGCTTTCAAGGTTTTCAAAAGTCATTAAGGGTGTACTGATGTGTAGATGAGCTCAGGCTTTGGTGAAAATGTAGTGTTATAAAAGTAATAAAATTGCAGTGTTCAATAGGAAGTACCAGTAACTTTTGCCATAACACTTTTTAGCCCTTATGACAGTCTTTTGGATTTGTTGTTTAGGTCAGGCCTTTGATGCAACTTCATTGATTTCAAAAGCATTTAGTTGCCTCAGATTTTTCTGTCTACAGGGCCTTATTTTCACATGTGGAATCAGGTAACTGGAAAATTCTAGGAGAAGCTAGAAAAAATGATAAGAATAAAAATGCAAATTAAAAAAACAGGCCGTTTTCAGGTTTTACTTAAAGTGCTCAGAAACATATATCCATCTACTCGAATGTTTTGATACGGCAGTCTGCTAAGTTTGATCTGAACTGCTGTCAAACTGTTCTTGAAAATCCTTTATTAGAATTACTATAGTAATAAGTATGTATTTTAATTCCACGCATATTACTGTATTATTTTATTGTATTATATTATTGTAAAACTTCACACAGAATATGACTTATAAGAATTGTGAATCCTACAAAAGGAAGCCTTTTCCAGCAATGAAAGATAATCTGCTTGTGTATGCAACTTTTAGTTGTTTATTTTTGTTTCTTAAGGTCTTCCATTTCATGTTTTTTTTTCTAATCATACTTGTTAGTACTTACTATACAATTAAAGTTTGGCAATTTGAATTATTTTCTAGTTTAAAAAAAAAAGGATAATTTAGAAAATAATTAATGCCCGTAAATCTTATTCATAAGCAGTTATTTGGCAATTCAGATATTTGTCTTATTTTAGAAGTGTCATGAAACTCCACACAGTAGTCTGAACTGAATAGAGTTGTTTGCTCTACACTTCCTGAAAACAATTGAGAATAATGTAAAATTATCTAAAAGGAACATGATACAACTGCAGGACTTTAGTTGAAATAAACACCAGCTTAGCAGAGTATTTTGAGTGTACTCGTTCTGAGAATATAAGTGAGCCTTTGGAAGCTCACAGGACTGTTCAGGTGTTTGGGTTAAAATGCAAATTAGTTTAAGCTAAGTAAATTAGTTTATTAACTATTTAAGCTTAACCTTTTTTTTTTTGTTATTATTTTATGCCACTGTGTGGCTCCTAGTCAGAGACAATGTCAGAGGAGATTCTGTGCCTTTCCAGTGCATCTGGAAAGTCCAATGTTTTTCCTGATTGCTGGTCTTAAAATAAAGATTAGTTCCACCTTTCCCCCATTCCCCCCCCCATTATCAAGCAGGTTTACTTGTGAGATCCAGCTACACAGGACTTGTATTCCAGATCTTTTCAAACTTAATAGGATAGTGTTTTGCTCACTTCAGAGTTCTGAGTGCTGGGACTTCTTTAAAGCCTTGGAAAACTGTTTTGCTCCATTTCTTTGTGCATAATATTGAGTGTGAAAGAAAACTAGGAAGTTTTATGTACAACTTACAAGAGCTAAGTAGCTCTTAAAGGCAGTTGATTATTGCTTGGCAGAAATAAGTCACTGGTTTTAAAACTTCCTTTTCAGTTTCATGATTGTTTCTAGAAATCCATTAAAATTTTTTCCATAAGTGTAACTCTAGAACACTTACAGTCCTTTCTTACTTGTGACATGGTGTTAGAGTTAATCCTGTGATCATTACATTTCTTCTTAAGTAACTGAAATTTTCAGAGAGTAAGAGCTTTGCTTGGTAGGCACTTGCTGAGATTTTTGCTGCTGTGATTCTTCTGCAGATGCAAGAATTGATGAAGACTGTTATTTCTGTGTTTTGATTAGAGCTCTTTTTTATTTTGGACATATGCATCAAAAAAGTGTATGTGAGGCAATTTAAAAATTATTTACTTTTACCTAAGGCAAAAAATATGTTCAGTCGAGGTACTCCTGACATTATTTTAAAATTAAGGAAAAGGAGGTCTTCGGATGACTTGTAGAAAAGTTTCTAGAAGTTGTGAGTTAAGAAAGATCATAAAATTCCTTTTGAAGGAATCTAATGCAATGATTTCTTTTGTAAGTATTACAGCTCACTCAAAAGCTTCATATACTATTTTTCAGATTGGTTAAGTTTGTTGTAGAAATGATTCTACTTCTTTCAAATATGAACAAAACTAAGCTTGCAAATTCTTTTCATATGCATCATGAGTAGATTACATCAAGTCTTTTCAATTGGAAAGGATTGAGTTCTTTGTACATGGTGAGGTGAATAATATACTCTGAAGCTTCTTTCAGTAACCTTATCACCTTGAAGTTGTTTTTATGGTCACTCTCCTTGTTCTTCTGAATTTCAATTGATGAAGTAAAAATAGAACATCTAGAAATAAGTCTTATGGAGGATTCAGAAAAGAACTTGTGCTGGCCAAGTTTTCAGGGGTGTGTGAGTTTTTTAATAGTTTGAGGAACATCTGCTATTTTATTATATCCATAATGATCAGGAAGAAAACAGCAGACAGTCTTAACTTTTTGGTGAATCTCATCACTGTGGACTGAGAGTTGCAATTCACTTCAACATCTGTGTTACACAATTCACCTAGGGACAGACATTTAAAAGCTATGAAGAGACTGTGAAATCTTAAGACTATTTCTGCTTGCTTCAGGTGTTTTCTTACTAAAATATTTCCTTATATTTGTGTAATATTGCATAAAAGTTTTTTGCTAGCCCCTACTGTATCTATGTTTCTTCTGAGAAAGAAAGGAATAATGCAGAAAGAGAACTTTGTTTGCAGGTGCTGTGTGACTTTTTTGTGCAATGGCACTGCCAGTAACCCAAGATAAGATTCCACTTGCAATACAAAATTATTGATTGATTTTGCAGTCAAAGGACAATATTTTTCCAACCATTTGTGAACTTCGGTTCTTCCTCTGTAGGTGGTACCACATGTTCTTGTAATAATATCTCAAAAGAACTGTATTTTTTCACGTAATTTATTACATACCTTGTAGATGACTTTGACAGCAGGTGCTAAGATTTGCAGAGCGTCTGGACATAATCGAGTGCAAGTTATGGTTGTGACTTGAAGGCTGATATGCAATATCTCCATGGCACAGTAAAACAGTGAGAATTTTGCTTACTGACCTTGTGTTGATATCACTTACTATCACTACACTTTTGATTAGTGATGCAGGAAAAAGAGGGGTATTAATGTGCTCCTCCTTGAGCTGTTAGCACAGATGGAAAACTTGGATGTAGTCTCATTATTCCATTTCTCACAAAATTGCTCTTTCTTCTTTTGTGCTTCCATGAAAATCCACTATGGATAAACCAGAGTAGGCAGTGTAATGTCTACCCATACTGTAATGATTAAGATTTGTTGGTGAGGATTGGAGTCCAAGACAGAGGAACTTGAAAATATGGACATTTCACAAGGAGAGTAGTCAGGAAGTCAATATACAAAAGAAATTCAGTTGGAACATGGTAATAGACCATAAGCCTGAAAATCAAACTATTTGTTCGGCCTCAGAGTCAGGAGAAAGGAGAATTCACCTTCAGAGAGTCTCAATCTGCTTTATTTGATTGGGTCATTAATGCACTGCCAGTTTCTCGGGCCTGGGTATCATAGTTGTTGGCACAGAGCATAGTGGGGTTTCTATGTTGTTACTTAGTAGAGTAAATTGTTAATGTGTTCTTCCCTATATTAGAGAAGTGTTCAAAATTTTATGTTGACTGCCTGCGTGAGTCCATGTAAACCCGTGTAATCAGCATTGGGAGCATCTGACAGACCTGGATACATTGTGGGTAGAGGATGCAGTGCTGAAGATTATCTCAGTGGGAGATTAGCTCACTGTGTTTAGTCCCTGAGCTGCTGGTGTATGGGCATGCCCCAAAGTTTCATAAGCAGACATGAGCATCACAACAATAGCTCAGTTCTTACAGTGTATTTTTAATAAAATGCAAGATCAGTGAACATTAGAATTATTTTCTGGAAAATAAGGAAAAAGGTTTTCTCCTTCTGAAATTAAAAGTCTCTGCATATTTGATGCGGAAATTATTTCAATGAAATTGCTTCTAAATAAAAAATTGAAGGTTTTCATCTTGCCTATGTTTTTTCTAATCAATAATGTCCATTTTAACTGTGATGACTGCAATGCTAATATAGCATCTTAATATTCATCATCTTAGATGG